TCCCTTTGGATGATTCTACTGGAGAAAAAAATCCTACATGTAAAAATTTTTATAAAAACTTGTATTCTTCGAATGTGCTATTAGCCATGAATTGACTAAAATTCTGTTAGCTTATGGATGCACGCACTAACTGGATTCAAAGAAACAATTCTGAAACGTTTATCTTTTACTGCATGCAGTCTCCTGAGAAGCACAGCTTTTCTTTTTTAACCTCCTTTTTGCGGTTTGTAAACTTGGGGAATAAATCTTATTGAGAGAAGTGGTTGTTATAAGACAATTCTCCATAGGTCTCTTGTGTTTCTGTGTGTTTTCTAAGCAGAGGTATTCATTGCCTTTCTTCCATACTAGATTTTCAAGGATGTTGGAATAGCGAACGGCTTTGGTAAAGATAGGGTCTCCTTCCAGAGAAGAAAAGCAGTTTGGTTTACTGCTCCCTATAATAATGATAATGACAGCCTACAGGGAAAACTCAGTTGGGCTTACTGCCCACCATAAAAGACCCAGGTTTAGGCTTATGGTACCTATTCTATAACACAACCCACTGTGTGTCACTTGTTCCTCTTCATACCATACTTTAAAAGCTGGGGCTTGGGGAAATAACACCAAAATGTGAATATTCTGACAACTGTCATTTCTGTGAATAATAAGCTGTCTTTTTTCTTTGACCCACAAGCCTGCTTCCACCAGCTTCCATGAAGCTACCTCAGGCCAATTTGTTAGCTTCCAAGGAGGGTACAATGTCAGACCCTTCCCAGTTTGTATTACCAATAACAACTTCAACACAGATTGTGCTACCTGAGTACTTACTTTCAAAAAACAAAATAATACACGGATTTTAATGTTACTGACAATCTGGATTGGTCAGTCTAGCTTTCCTGTCTGATTCTCCAAGAGATTTGTCATCCTAGTATAAAGTTCAGCTGAAATGCCTTTTCCTAATTTTATTAATGATCCTTCTGTCATCTAGTCACAGAATGGAGCCAGGTTTCCCTCCTACTAGTTCTTCTTCAAACAAAGATAATTTTTGGATGATTTTCTTTTAGGGAGTAGGTGAAATAAAATGTTTTCAGATTACATATTCCCTCTTGGTTTTGTAAATCCCTTTATTCGGGTAAAATTGACATACAAAAAACTATATTTAATTTGTATACAACTTGATGAATTTGGAGTTAAGTATACAGCCATGAAATTATCAACACAATCTATGCTATAAACATATCCATTCCTTCATAAAGTTTCCTTCTGCCCTCTTTATTATTTTTTCCCCACAGGGTCTCTTTGTCACCCAGGCTAGAGTGCAGCAGTGCCAGGCTCACTGCAGCCTCTATCTCCTGAGCTCAACCTCCCAAGTAGCTGGGCCCACAGGCACGCACCACCACTCCCAGCTAATTTTTTTGTAATTTTTGTAGAGACAAGGTTTCACCATGTTGTACAGACCGGTCTCGAACTCCTGAGCTCAAGCAATCTGCCCACCTCAGCCTCCCAAAGTGCTGGAATTACAGTCATGAGCCACTGCATCCTGACCTTCTTTATTACTTCTGTGTGTGATAAGAATACTCAATCTAAGATCTACCCTCTTACATTTTTAAATATGCAACACGGTGTTATCACAGGTCCTACACTGTTCAGTAGCTCACTGTGGTCTGTTGGTGTTATATAACAGAAACTATACCCTTTGACTAACACTTCCTTGTTTTCCCCTCCCCCGGCCCTGGTAACTATCATTCAGCTCTCTCCTCCTATGAGTTTGACTATTTTAGACTCCTCACGTAAGTGGTATCTTGCAGTATTCGTCTTTCTGTGTCTGGCTTGTTTCTCTTAATATAAGGTCCTCTAGTTTTATCCATGTTGTCACAAATAACAAGATAGTCTTTATTTTTTCAGGATGAGTGATGGACACTTAGATTGCTTGCATATCATGGCTATTGTAAAATAATGCTGCAATATATATGGGAGTGCAAATATCTCTTGATTTCAATCCCTTTGGGTATATATCCAGAAGTGAAATTGCTGGATTATATGGCAATTCTATTTTTAATTTTTGTGGAACCTCCATATTGTTTTCAATAGTGGTTGTACCAGTTTGCATTCATACCAATATTATATAAGGGTTCCCTTTCTCCACATTCCTGCCAACACTTTTCTGTTGAACTTTTTTATAATAAGCTTTCTAACAGGTATGAGATGATATCTCGTGTAATTTGATTTGCCTTTCCTTGATGATAAGTGATGTTTAACACCTATTTATATACCTGTTGACCACTTGTATAGCTTCTTTAGAGAAATGTCTATATTGCTATAAAATGTGCAAATCCCTTTGCACATTTTTTAATCAGATACTTGGGGTTTTTATTCTATTGAGTTGTGGGATTCAGTTTTGGATACTATCCCTTTATCAGATATGTGGTTTGCAAATACTTTTATTTTGTAAATTGGCTTTACATTTTTGTTGATTATTTCCTTGGCTGTGCAAGAACCACTTTGTTTCATTTAATCCCACTTGTCTATTTTTAGACAAGTTTTTGTTACTTGTGCCTTTGGAGTCATATCTAAGAAATTCTTGCCAAGCCCAATGTCAAAAAGCTCTTTTCCTATTTTCTGGGCTCTCCATTCTGTTACATTGGTCTATATTTGTTTTAATACTCTTATCATACTGCCTCAATTATTTTAAATATATTTGAAAATGAAAAATTGTGATGCCTCCACCTTTACTCTCTTTTTTAAGATTGGTTTTGGTTATTCAGGGTCTTTTTCGGTTCTAATATGAATTTTAGGATTGTTTATATTTCTGTAAAAACAAAACAAAAATGCCATTGCGATTTTAGTAGGGATTACATTTAATCTGTAGATCATCTTGGGTAATATAGATATATGAACATAGGATATCCTTCTGTTTATTTGTATCTTTTAAAGTTTATTTCATCAATGGTTTACAGTTTTGATGTACCAGTTTTTCACTTCCTTGGTTAAATTTATTCCTAAGTATTTTATTGTTTCAATGTTAATGTAAATGGAAATGTTTTCTTGATTTCTTTTTGGATAGTTCATAGTTAATTAATAGAAATGCAATTAATTTTTGCATACGAATTTTGTATATTGCAACTTTACTGAATTTAATAGTTCTAGTAGTTTTTTGGGTTTTTTAAATTTTGTTTTGTTTGTTTGTTTGAGGACTCTCTCTCTGTTGCCCAGGCTGGAGTGCAGTGGTGTGATCTCGGCTCACTGCAACCTCCACTTCCCAGATTAAAGCAATTCTCATGCCTCAGCCTCCCAAGTAGCTGGGATTACAGTCATGTACCACCACCCCTAGCTAATGTTTGTATTTTTAGTAGAGACAGGGTTTTACCATGTTGGCCAGGCTGGTCTTAAACTCCTGACCTCAGGTGATCCACCTGCCTCAGCCTCCCAAAGTGCTGGGATGACAGGTGTAAGCCACCACATCCAGGCTTCTAGTCATTTTTTGACAAAATCTTTAGGACTTTCTACTTATAAGGTCATGCCATCTGTAAATAGAGATAATTTTGCTTCTGCCTTTACAATTTAATTACCTTTTATTTTCATTTCTTGACTAATTGCTTTGGCTGGGACTTCCAGTACCATCTTGAACAGAAATGGTGAGAATGGGCATCCTTGCCTTTTTCCAGATCTTAGAAAAAAAACTTTCAGTTTATTGTGTATGATATAATCTGTGGGCTTTTTATATATGGACTTTATTGTTTTAAGTTCATTTTATACTTAATTTACTGAGAGTTATCATGAAAGGGAGTTAAATTTTGTCAAATGCTTTTTCTATATTTTTGAGATGATCATGTGATTTTTATACTCCATTCTGTTCATGTGGTGTGTCACACTGATTGATTTCTGTATGTTGAGCCATCCTTGCATTCCCTGAACACATATTATTTGAACATGGAATATGATCCTTTTAAAGTGCTATAAATTTTGTTTGCTATTATTTTGTTGGGGAATTTTGCATCTATGTTCATCAGGGATATTGGCCTAAAGTTTTGTTTACTAGTGGTATCTTTGTTCAGCTTTGGTATCAGGGTGATGTTGACCTCATAAAATAAAACTGGAAGTGTTCCCTCTTCTATTTTTGGAAGCATTTCAGAAGGATTGGTATTTATTCTTCATTAAATCTTCGGTAGAATTAACGTATGCAGTCATTTGGCCCTGGGCTTTTCTTCATTAGGCAGTGAGACCCTCCAAACAGGGTCTCACTATGTTGTCCAGGCTAGTCTCAAACTCCTGGCCCCAAGTTATCTTCCCACCCTGTCCTCTCAAAGCATTGGGATTACGAGCATGAATCACTGCACTCAGCCTCTCAGTCTCCTTTTTGTTATTGGTCTGTTCAGCCTTTCTAGTTCTTCTTGGTTCAGCCTTGATGGGTTGTATGTTTCTAGAAATTTCTATATTTTTTCTAGATTGTCCAATTTTATAGTGTATGATTGTTCATAATAGTTTCTATGGGTTTTTCATTTTTGTGAGATCTGTTGTCATGTCTCCACTTTCATTTCTGATTTTATTTGAGTCTTCTTTCTTTTTTCTTAATCTTACTATTTGTCAATTTTAACTTTTCAAAAAAAAAAAACAAGTCTTAGTTTCCTCAATTTCTTCTAATTTTTTCTTTTCTATTTTAGTTATTTATGTGCTAATCTATATTATTTCCTCCCTTCTGATAACTTTGGGCTTATTCTCCACTCTCTATATAAATCACTAACATCTAATCCAGTTACCATTATTATATTGATCCAGTCTTAGGTTTGATGTAAGCATTCCTGTATGCTCAGGAAATTATTCTAAACTGATATCCTGGCATTATTTCAGATTTTCTCAATAGCTAATTTTACCTTCTACAGAAATGTTCTCCATATTGTTTGTAAATACACAATATAATTAATTCCTTTTCTTCTTAAGAGACTAATTTTTATATGACATTTACTCACATTGGATTAAGTTCCTCCTAGGGTGGGATAGGCAGGGGGTGGATATCATCTTACCTTAAAAATATTTTTCACATGAATATAACTGCACCGAATATCTAATTTTTCAAGTAACCTGTGAGTTTTTTCTAGGTTAATTTTTCCACCTCTAAAGTCATCCTGAATCTTCGACAAAAACCACGTATGAAGAACAAAAAAGTTAAGGAAATTCTCGTAGAAAGTCATTGAGTATTTAAAATTCCTAAAGAAACATTTGATTTACTGTACTTGTTTTTATTTTTAAAGAATATGATTAAATTACAGGATAATTATATGATGTAAATATTTTAAAAAAACAAAATTAAGTAGTTACTATGCTATAGTAAAGTTATGAAAGGGCATAGCACAGTAAAAATAAAAAAAAATTAATTAAATTTGAGAAGCAAAGTCATTACTTAGAAAATACATTAAAACATTACTATAATATATGGCCTGAAGGCACGAACTTGAGAGGCAGCTAGACTTCAATATCACCTCTCACCCGACCTCTCTCAGTTTTAGTTCTCTCTTCCAGAAAGGTGAGCAAATTTACCCTGAATCTTAAGGAAGGTAGAAGCATTAGATGAATTCCTAATATGTCACCGAACATAGTCGCTGCTACTTAGTGTTCAATAAATAGTAACCATGACTGATAAAATTATTATTAATAGATTAGTCATATGCCCAGCTACACACACACTCAAGAAAGCAACATTTTAAGTACCGTCAAAAAGCATCAAAAATACCATGCTGAGTGTATATTGGGTATAAAAGAGAAAAAAAACAAAAAACTTACTTATCATAGACAGATAAGCTACAAAAACTAGGACACCTCCATACTAAGATTGAAATGAGATAATGACAATTATCACTAAAATCATAAAAGGTATGGGTAAAAAATATGCAAAACTGAGTTTCAGATTGTTAGAGCAAATTATTGAGATGTCTTTAAACTTAATAGTTATGACTTAATACAGCAAAGCTCATGTCCTTGTAAGAAAAAGATACCAGAATGTAGGGAAACTTAGAAAAGCTCAGAGCAGACATGGAACAAGCAGTTCGACTTAAATGAAGAGGACTTAAATTCAGGACTCTTCAAAAAGAATAACAGCATCAAGTAAAGAGGATAACTAGGAGGAAGGAGAAGAGGGGCAGAAAGAACTTCTCAATGGATATCTCGTTTCCATAGTTTTATGACCTGTAGAGCCGTTTCTCCTCGCTTAGAAGTCTCTCTCCAGTAGATGCTGTCACGGGTTCCAAATACAATTAACTTTGCCCCTTTGCAGAAAATAATTTCTTGGTACTCATCAGCTGTTACCACTTTTCTAGGGAGAAAGCAGAGAACACATAGTGGTTTGTTGCCTTTGTTCTTTGAAGCCAGCTCACACTTAGCCACAGAAACAGTAAGCAAGATGTGGTACCTGCATTACCCTGCCCTGGAAACTTTTCAGCTTCTTGAGTTCTGTCTCTACACCCACTGTTTATAAACACAGCTTTCTCTGATGTCTGGCATTTTTCCATGAACTGTCATTGTATCTCATTTAATTTTTACTATTTTGTTTTAACCCCTCAAACCTTTCATCATAATGTACTTGCAGTGGGTTTGGGCAGCTATTCTGAGAGCCTGAGTATAAATCAACACCATTGTGATTCCTGAAGTTCCAAAGTGCTGTCACTCTAGAAATTTTGAGCTGCTTCTCTAGACCCCTGACAACATATAATGCACAGAGAGACACACCACTTTTGAAGAAGACTGTTCAGGAGGCAAAGTTCTTAAAATCTTCAAAATAGGTACAGCTGGTTAGCTGGGCACCACACTATCAGGTGACTGTCATTTTTTTCTTTTGGTCTGAATGCCCATTGTGATATCATCAGAGGTTCCCCACTGCATAGAGAAAGCTACTTTATGACCTCATCAGGAGGCTCAGAGCTTGCCAGACTGCCTGCTTTCATGGGTGGCTATAATAATCTTCAGCTTGAATGTTAACACCTTGATGGGAAAGGTGTCTCATGGAATGTTTTCTTATCCTTTGAACACTCTTTATTTCAGAAGCTTTGCTTCTGTTGCAACTAATCATGGCACTTAGCGTGCTGAGCAGGAAGGACAAGGAAAGAGTAATTCGCAGACTGTTAATACAGGCACCTCCGGGGGAATTTGTAAATGCCTTTGATGATCTCTGTCTGCTTATCCGTGATGAAAAACTTATGCACCATCAAGGTGAATGTGCAGGCCACCAACACTGCCAAAAATATTCCGTACCACTCAGCATCGATGGAAATCCAGTACTCTTGTCTCACCACAATGTAATGGGTGACTTCCGATTTTTTGACTATCAAAGCAAACTTTCTTTCAAATATGACCTGCTTCAAAATCAGCTGAAAGACATCCAAAGTCATGGTATCATTCGGAATGAGACAGAATACCTGAGAGTTGTTGTTCTGTGTGCCTTAAAACTGTATGTGAATGACCACTATCCAAAAGGAAACTGCAATGTGCTGAGAAAAACTGTCAAAAGTAAGGAGTACTTGATAGCTTGCATTGAAGACCACAACTATGAAACGGGAGAGTGCTGGAATGGACTTTGGAAATCCAAATGGATTTTCCAAGTTAACCCATTTCTAACCCAAGTAACAGGAAGAATATATGTGCAAGCTCACTTCTTCAGGTGTGTCAACCTTCATATTGAAATATCCAAGGACCTGAAAGAAAGCTTGGAAATAGTTAACCAAGCTCAACTGGCTCTAAGTTTTGCAAGGCTTGTGGAAGAGCAGGAGAACAAATTTCAAGCTGCAGTCTTGGAAGAATTACAGGAGTTATCCAATGAAGCCCTGAGAAAAATTCTACGAAGGGATCTTCCAGTGACCCGCACTCTTATTGACTGGCAGAGGATACTCTCTGACTTGAATCTGGTGATGTATCCTAAATTAGGATATGTCATTTATTCAAGAAGTGTGTTGTGCAACTGGATAATATAAAGAACTGCTCCTGGTAACTATCTTGATTTGACTTGTTTATGTTTCTGGGGAATAGTCATTTTCCTAAAATTAAGCAATCTGTAGAGATGCTTCTCACTTAGCCAATGCACATTTAAATAAGGAAAGTGTTACAAGTAATTTTACTTGGGAAATATTTATGTATAAGGCAAGAAAGTGTAAAGTAGAATGTGTTTCATAGTAGTGACCATCATAAAGACCAAGACATTTGTTAGAAACAAATTGTTTTACAGAATATGCGATTCCAAAAATAATGTGGAGGTGGCCAGGGTTAAGGCTGTGTGTGTGTGTGTGTGTGTGTGTGTGTGTGTGTGTGTGAGAGAGAGAGAGAGAGAGAGAGACTTTTGACTTTGTTTTGAACTGAAAAGGTATACAAGTGAATATCACTCCACAAATGATATTTTACATAACTCAATTCAGTCCTGGACCATCCACAAGAGGATGAATTTCAATAAATGACATTAGGTTTGGATTTTCCATGAAACCAACATACTAAAAATCTAGCTCAGATGAAGGACTATTAACACATTTGGCTACTCTTCCTTTCTACTTCCCTCCCCTCAAGAATTGGGTTTACTCAAAATCTCTGGCTTGTCTGATAAGTAACATGGTCTTCCAAGACTAGAAAAGCCTGACTTCCAAACTTTTGCAGCTGAGCTTTTGGGAAGTCACCACTGTAAACACTTAGAAGTGCTTACAAGATAACATAGCTTGTGCTAAATATTTTGCAACAATTTATTTCATCACTAATTTGGTCCTAGTATTATCTCCACTGTACGTAAGACAAACCAAAGCTCTCAAGTTGTTTACATCTTCCAGACACATAGTGTCATAGTTTATTTATGCTGCTATAACAAAAGACCATAAACTGAGTAACTTATAAATAACAGGAATGTATTACTCACAGTTAAGGGGGCTGCAAAGTCGAAGACCAAGGTGCTGGCGGATTCAGTGCCTAGTAAAGGCCTGTGTCCTTCTAGATAGGACTTTCTAACTTTGACCTTCATGGTGAAAGGGGCAAATGTAGAACTTATTTTATAAGGGCACTGATATCATTCATGAGGGCTCCACCCTCATGACCAATCACCTCCTAAAGTCCTCACTTCCAAATACCATCACTTGGGGACTCAGTTTCAACATATAAACCTTGGGGGACACAATCAGATCATGCCACATAGTGACAGGTGTATCTGGCTAGTGCTCATGCTCCAGGTTACAACAGTTCCCCAAGGAAGCCTAATTCATTATGAGTTATGGACTCTGATGTACATTGACTTCAGCAAGCATTCCACCTTAAAGAATACCCTAGAAGAAATGGAACTAGTAACAGCTGTTTTCTAGCCAGAGCATATCACCTATACACTCACCCTACCACTATTCCTAGCAATGTTACTGACCACTGGTATCTGCTCTTTCAGTAAATTCTAAATGTAAACCTCTTTAACAAGATTACAGAAAAGCAGTAAGTAGGCTCCATCTTCCAATTCTGATTTATCTAAGAAGCAAAGTATTTTGTATTTTGAATTCATGCAATTGAAAACCAGTTATAATTCTACTTATTAACATTGGAGCAGACAAGATCACATACAAGAATTTCTAAACCTCAAACCTCCCCAGCTGGTGTTTCTTAGAGAATCTCAGGAAAATTACCAGGGGTTTATCTTTAAAAATATACGTTACTGGGGCCCATCCTAGGATTCTGATTTAGTAGGCTGGGAAATCTACATTTTTATCAAATATCAGAGATTACTCTGATGCAAAAGATTTCAGGGCCACATTTTAAGAAATGTGCCCTAATCTTAAAATAGCATGTCCTGTGCTTTCTATTTACTTAATTAAAATTTCTCATAAAATCTTAGCCCAATTAAGGCCATTGCTACTACTTCACTGCATTTATTTTTTTTTTTTTCTTTTTTCTTTTTTTTTATTGCATTTTAGGTTTTGGGGTACATGTGATGAACATGCAAGATTGTTGCATAGGTACACACATGGCAGTGTGCTTTGCTGCTTTCCGTCCCCTCACCTGTATCTGTCATTTCTCCCCATGCTATCTCTTCCCACCTCCCCACCCCCCGCCCCTCCCCCATTTACCCCCAACAGACCCCAGTGTGTAGTGCTCCCCTCCCTGTGTCCATGTGTTCTCATTGTTCAACACCCGCCTATGAGCGAGAATA